CTACAATCAACGTAAATAAATCAAAAACAAAATTGATGCAGGGCCTTTATTATGGTGATAAAAATTATAATTCAAAACCCGGCCAAAATATAGAAATTTAAAGTAAAAATGATTAAAAATACATGCTTTTTATATGAAAAAACTACAAAATTAAAAAGGTACTTAGAATCAAAATTAAGGGCTCAAATTTTCAGGGAATTTTTTTTTCAACCTAAAAACCGAAATTTTCTTGTGTCAGCAAGAAAAAAAAAATTTCGTTTTAAATGAAACACCCTAATGAACATTTTGAGTCAAAAAACACTAAAACTAAATATTATGATTTTTTTCACTTTTCAAAGCTTTCAAATATACGAATTTTTAAATTGAAAAAAAATAATTCTGGGATAGATTTTGTAGGAAATTTTATGCTCTACAAGAATCCGCGACGTAAAAATTTTTATCTCAAACGGTTCAAAAGTTATATTTTTTTTAATGAAAAAAGATTTTTTTACGTGTTATTTCAATGGAAAACTTAGAATGCTCACCGACACCTTTTAAAATTGAGCAAAAAATTTTTCCTTGCAGGAAAATTTTAGTATGTCCCCGGATGGGGTTGCCCACAATCCACACAACAAGGTCTGTTCGATCTCGTAGTAAAAATACTAAAAATCACTGCAGGGCTGTCAAATGTCAATTTGAAGGTTAATTTAAGGTTATTTCATAACCCATAAATTAACCTTCAAATTGCCATTTGATAGAATAGGGTTTATTTTTTACAAAAGAGGAGTAAAATGATTGTTCTAACAACTTTGAGATCTCTTTTAAGAATTGCAAGTCTCTGTAAGAAACACAACGTTTAAAACGATTATTAATCTGTACAAACCCAAAGCACAAGAATTGTAAACAACAAAAATGGCCGCCATCGTATGATGTGCAGTGTTGCAGTGATTCTTAGTATTTTTACTACAAGATCGAACAGACCACAATCCACACAACAAGGTCTGTTCGATCTCCTAGTAAAAATACTAAAAATCACTGCAACACTGCACATCATACGATGGCGGCCATTTTTGTTGTTTACAATTCTGGTGCTTTGGGTTTGTACAGATTAATAATCGTTTTAAACGCTGTTTTTATTACAGAGAGACTTGCAAGCCTTAAAAGAGACCTCAAAGTGGTAAGAACAATCATTTTACTCCTCTTTTGTAAAAAATAAACCTTATTCTATCAGGGCTGTCAAATGCCAATTTAAAGGTTAATTTAAGGTTATTTTAAAACCCACAAATTAACCTTCAAATTGATAGAATAAGGTTTATTTTTTACAAAAGAGGAGTAAAATGATTGTTCTTACTACTTTGAGGTCTCTTTTAAGGCTTGCAAGTCTCTCTGTAAGAAACACAATGTTTAAAACGATTATTAATGTGTACAAACCCAAAGCACAAGAATTGTAAACAACAAAAATGGCCGCCATCGTATGAAGTGCAGTGTTGCAGTGGTTTTTAGTATTTTTACTACGAGATAGAACAGACCTTGTTGTGTGGATTGTGGAACAGACCTTGTTGTGTGGATTGTGGGGTTGCCAAGAGGAGAAACTTTCTTATTTTTCATTTTACGAGAAAAATGTATTCTTCATATTACTTTTTGCTTGTTACAAAACGGCTGAATCAGTTTTTACCGTTTCAAATTTCCTTTTCGTTACAGAGAAACATAAAAAAATAGGTTGATTTATTTCAACATTAAATTTTGTTTAAGTAATAATCCGAAACTTTCTCTACGACGAAGATCGCTTCAATTAAAACACACATTTAATGAATATTGAAACAATGTGAAATTCATCCTTACAAACCAATTTTTAATCACGCCCGGAGATCCTGCAAAACGTTTGGATTTCTGCTTGTGGATGGGTGCTCAAATCATGAATATTCGAGATATTATATTCTCTGATGAAGCCACGTTCTTAACCAACGGTACTGTCTCATCTCAACATGTAAGGTACTGGAGCAATCACAATCCCTATTTCCGAATCGCTCGCAAGCGACAATATTCGTCTAAAGTTAATCTATGGTGTGCAATTTCTTATCATGGTATAATTGGACCATATTTTTTTGAAAGTACAGTTAATCAGCATACGTATTTAGATGTGTTACAACATTTTCTAAATGAAAGGTTGGACGATCTACCGATTAATTATCGTGCTAGGTGTTACTTTCAACAAGATGGTTGTCCTGCCCATTATGCTCGAATAGTTGTAGAATGGTTAAATAAGCAATTTGGAGAGAATCGGATCGGTCGAAATAGTCCTGTTTTATGGCCACCGGGGAGCCCTGATTTGACCATTGCAGATTTTTACCTTTGGGGCCGTTTGAAACAAATAGTTTATGCTAATGATATTCCTCTGAATGTAGAATTTTTGAAGGAGAGAATCAGAGATGCTGTGGCGTCTTTACCGCTAGAAGAGGTCCGAAAAAGTTATAGGGAACTGCGTCAAAGACTTGAGCTATGCGTTCAGGAAGGTGGTGAATGAATCGAGTAAAATTTATTAGTTTAATTTTTAAATTGATATAAAACCTTAATAAATGTTTAACTAAATCGACCTATTTTTTATGTTTCTCTAGAACGGAAAGGAATTTTGAAACGGTAAGAACTGATTTAGCCGTTTTGGAACAAGCAAAAACTATTATAAAAAATAAGAAAGTTTATCCTCTTGCTAACTCCACCTGGGGACATACTGTAGGTATATATATTTATATATACATTTTGTATGAACATGTTTATTTCTGACAAATATCTTTTAACAAACCACAAAATATTTTATTTGTATATAATACCACTAGTGGTAAAATTTTACCAATAAAATTTTTGATTTTTATATGAATGTTTTTTTCTTGGAAATTGGCATTAATTTAAGACCACGAGCCGCTAGGCAAGTGCTTTTAAATTAATGCCACGAGCGAAATTTCCAAGGAAAAATCTTGAGTAAATAAAAATTTTCAGGGAAAATTTTATCACGAGTGGTATATGGCAAAACTATTTTAAGAAAAAAAATTTTTAGAATTAGAATTAACTGCCCAAACGCATATTTTTTAAAATTTTTATTTTAAAATTAGAAACGTCAACATTGACAATTATTTTTCGCATAGCAACCAATTGGTTGTTATGTAACTCGTATAAACGAGTTTTTTTCACCTAAATAGTAGTTTTATCGTAAGTAATATCATAAGGGCATCTAATTTTTCCGAAAAAAAATCGAAAAAACACGTTGCTAAGTAATATTTTAACAAGAAGCATGAGTGCTGGTGGCAACAAAAATCCGAGTCGAAGACGAGGATTTTTGCACCTGTACGAATGCATTTTGTTAAAAAATATTACTTAGCATTGTGTTTTTCGATTTTTTTCACAGGAAAAATTAGATGCCCGAATGGTATTTGACAAGACTATTTCATGAGTAACAGTTATTCTGCATACACATAGCTTACAAAACATACTACCTATTATACATGCATACATAATAAATATGTAGGAATTAATTTGAAAACTGAAAAATAGGTAATTTATTTAATCACAAAATACTACTTAATTATTTATGGTACAATTAAAATTAAATTGCAATTTTTGGTGACAACAGTGTCAAGTTCTGCCGCGGGTAAACTCGAAAAAACTGCTTTCAGGTGCTGTCATACAGTTTTTCCACCTAGAAACCATCTTTAATTCAAAATTGCGCGTTTGTGATTGGTGGAAATTAAAACGAGGGAAATTGTCGTATATAATACCACTAGTGGTAAAATTTTATAGATAAAATGTTTGATGTTTATAAAAATCAAATATTTATCGATAAAATTTAAAAATACTAATGTAAGTGGCATTAATTTTTAAGTTTAGGTTTTAAATTAATTCCACGAGCGAAATTTCCAAGGAAAAATCTTGAGTTAATAAAATTCAAAAATTTTTTAAGGGAAAATTTAATCACGATTGGTCAAGTTTTTTCAAGACTATTCTACGATTTTTTTTTTAATTTAGAATTAACTGCCGAATCAATTTTTGTATGATTTTTTTTTACATTTTTATTTTAAAATTAGAAACGTCAAGACTATTTCATGAGTAACAGTTATTCTGCATACACATAGCTTACAAAACATACATTACATACCTATACATACATACATAATAAATATGTAGGTATTAAAAACTGCTGACAGGTGCTGTCATACAGTTTTTCCACCTAGAAACCATCTTTAATTCAAAATTGCGCGTTTGTGATTGGTGGAAATTATGACGAGGGAAATAGTCACCCATTATATAACAAGTGATATGATTATCATCGATGATATTTTCGAATTAAAACCGAGCTGCAGATTTCACGAGTCCGCAGGACGAGTGAAATATGCCGCTTCGGTTTCAATGAGTAAATATCAATAATTATTAATCATACCACGAGTTATATTTAGTGAGAAAATATAATGAATTTTAGGATTTAACGAATTTTCAGTTTGACATTTAAAATTAAAATGTGCTTTAAAATATAAAAAGACTTTAATAAACCTTATTTATTCAAACTTGCCTTAATTTCGTTATCGTTTACACCAACCCATCGATCTTTTAGAGTTTATAATTCAATATTTTAATCATATAACAAACACAGGATTTAAATGTCAACAAATGTCAAATCAAGAAAAGTGTCAAAATCCAACGTGTAAACAATGTGATAAAAAATATTGTCGCTGTGATAAAATGCGTAACTATGGAATACTGGCATTTTATTGGTTCTAATTATAATGAATTGTATTGTCACCTAAATAGTAGTTTTATCGCTGCAAAACTGAAAAAACCACTTGTTTTCTGAAATCTGATTGGTCCATAAAGTAAGGAGTGGAATAGTCGCTGCAAAACTGAAAAAACCACTCGTTTTCTGAAATCTGATTGGTCCATAAAGTAATGAGTAAAATAGTCAGTTAAATATGGTTAATTAAATATTTTATTATAATATAAACCATCCATAAAGTTCTGCCTTTATTTTGTTGTAGCCTGACGCTGATGCTGACGCAGTTATAAAAAGAATAAACAGTATAAAACCGGTCGGAGCAGTGGATTATTTAAAAGCAGACTATAAATTAAACAAAAGCAACGAAAGAGATGACGACATTGATCCGTTAACTCTTTATGTAGGAAACTTAACTCAAGAAATAACGAAAGAAGAACTAGTTAAAATGTTTCCTCATCACCGTAGAATCGACATAGGCTGGGCAAAAAAGATGAAGTTCACTAGATATGCTTTTGTCTCTTTTAACACTATAGAGGTAAAAATAAAATATTTAATTTTTCAGTACATCGATTTTCAATAAAATAACATCATTTTGTAGTCGCGTAGTGTAGGGTGAACTATAGGAAATTGTCAGTATGTGTCAAATTTTTTTTTTCTATTCTCTACAGCACTTTAGGGCCATTTTAAATATACGGACGGGACAAATCACAAACCTAGGTTTAATATTTTACCCTCAAGCATGACAAAATTGTCTAAATTATTCTCAATTTTTAGGCTATATATATTATATTAAATAAAAGAAACCCAAGCAAAATTTAAAAAAGTGGTGGTATTTTTAATAATGGACAGTTGTGGATGGGACAAGAGAAATATTTATTTAGTCCTGTCCACAACTGTCCAGTATTAAAATTATCTCTATTTTTACAAAATATTGCCCTCGTTTCTTTTATTTAACATATATAATAAAAAAATTAGAATAATTTTGTCAATTTTTATAGCAAAATAATATAATAATTTTTTTAATATTTGGTATTCTGTGTAAGGGGTAAAATTTGCACTGTCGGGTAACTAAAATTAACGGTTTCTTTAAGTGGTATAAGTACACCCCATTTGGTCCTTAAGTGGTTGAAAAGTTTTTTAAATAAAAATATTCTAGAATGTTTAAATTGCTGGTTTCCTAAGCTTTCAAATCATATTTAATTTGTTTTCGGATTTTTATTTAAGTAAATAAATATGCTCTTAAAGACCGTATTTTTGTTAGTATACCCTGAAAATTTTGTAGAAATCAAATAAACAGTAACAAAGCTACAGATATTCAAAGCCGTCAAAAAAGACCACTTAAGAAATTTTACAATGTTATTGGTTTGTATGTGGAAACTACCAAATAATAAAAAATCAAATTTTTAGTCTCAGTCAAAATTTTCAGTAATAGAAAATATATTATAAATTTCACTTTATTATAAATATACATTTTGGTCAAAATTTAATATTGAAAAAAGAGTCAATTTTTAAGATTGATGTTATTTATTGACAGAATATGCTTTTTTTCAAATTAAAAAACGTTTTTTACATCTCTAGTTATACTGTTGTAATGGACACTTGATGTGATCAAAATAATGCAGCTCTACCAAAAAATTTTCGAATGTTGATATCAAGACCATTATTACTCTATTATCTGTGTATCAAGGTGAAATTTTAGTTTAAACTGAATTAATCAGGCTTTAGTTCCTTACTATTACTCTATTATCTACGTACCAAGGTTACATTTCAGTTTAAACTTTGTTTAGCTATGAATCTTCACCGATAAAATGTATTATACTCACGCCGCCGCAGCTTTTCCATATACACATTTAAATTTCGGCGCGCACGCCGGTTTCCTATATTGTACATGATTTACTACAATACGAAATACATATGATCAATTTTAAGACCCAGAACATTTATTTCATAATCCGGTGTGGTAATTAAGGTGCTTATGTTAATTAAGACCAAAGGCAATATTTCTTAATTATTAGTTTTCGACCGTTTTTTTTTTGTTATTTAACATCTAATTTTATTGGATGAAACCTTTTAAATATCATATTTTGCTCTTTTTACTCGCGTTCCCCGGATGGTAATTACTAGAAATGAAACGGATAGTAACTAAAGTGTATTCAAATCCAAGCTGGACTAAACAAAAACGCCCAGGCGCATGATAACTCGTTCTTATTGGTCGATTCTGATGGTGTGACTCGGATTGTGAGTTCTTATTGGTCAATTCGGAGGATTGTGTTTACATTTAGTCCAGCTTGGATTTGAATAGACTTTATACATAAGTGTTGTTTGGCCGGATACCAGATATAGTATAATTTTTTTAACTTGACCCTTACGTCATCGTTGTCATCGTTTTCGACATATGGGCGATTCCATGATTACTACAAAACAAAAACAAGACAAAATGTTTTATGAAAATTTTAAATATGTGTTGTTTATATAATAATAATAATTTTATAATAGTTATTATTACTTAATTTCATTGCTGAGGACTGGCATACAATTATTATTATAGGAACAATACATCTTCAAAAATTTTCATAAAATATTTTGTTTTTTTTTGCTTGTCCCGTTAGTAATTATGGAATCGCCATATGTCGTATGACGTAGTTATAAAGTTATAAAAATCCAACTATACTAAATATCCGACAAGATTCGAAGCCGGATATCAGGCGGCCGAATACTAAGTAAAAACAATAAAAATTATTAATATTGCACATACGGGATCTTTGCTTAGCACGGAAAACTTGTTTACCTACTTTCATTTTCATTCATTCTTGAGTAAAAATCAATTAAAAATGTCATCGGTTAAAAAACGATCGCTGATTTTTATTTATTTATGACCCAAAAAAGAATACAGCATTCCATAGCAGGTACAATGGTAAAAAAGTAAAAATATATAAATAGATACAATATAAAAAAGAACATTAATAATAATTCGTCAAGATTTTGATTTTTCTTGGTTTAAAATGTATTATAATATAAGCTATAGTGATAATATTTTACTTTACAATTATTTATGTTTTGCAGTTGATTTTATGAATTTAACGTTTTAATTCTTTAAAATTATTATTGGAATTTATCCTAATTGAAATTTTATAATTATAACAAAGATAATTTTTTAGGACTCTTTAAAGGCGTTTGAAAATACATTCAACAAAATAATGCACGGTAAAAGTTTGATACTAAGGTTTAAGCGGTTCAAGGGTACTAATGGCCAACCTGGCGAAGCTAAACCGCAGAACGGCCAGGATAAAACGCCGCAAAAAGTGGATGACGCCAGTAGCGATCACCATGACACTGAACATTCCGATGGGGAGTCCTTGTGTTCGGAAAAATCGGTCACCGTTGACACCACTATTGATATTAGCCAGGTAAAGTACTGGGTGTTTAGTTTAGTATATAACGCGTTATTAATAAGGAATACAACTATTTTAAGCAGTTTTACAGGAGTAACTCTTTGATTTAAGGCTCATATTTATATAAATTGATAATATGTATATATTTAAGAAACCTTTAAAAATGTATTTGTGGGAAATCGCATATAAAGTTTTTTTAAATATTTTGGAAAAGAGGAACATAATTATATCGTTTTTAATGGTTTCCTATAATAGAATAATTCTGCCGTGTTAAGCAAAACCCCCGTATATGCAATACTAAGTAATAAAGGACAAATATTATTTTTATTGTTTTTAACTATGAAAAAGTTTTTTCTCCTTTATAACTTAATATTCTTCATTCAAGGGTTTGACTCAGCAGGACAGGACAGTATTAAGGTATAGTGCAAACAAGATGCAGAATTGAAAAGCATGAAATTCTGGCCAGGTTGCGGTAATATTCCAAATTTTTACAAATTTTCGGTCCCTTTTTCATAACGGGGTCCAATTATTCTCAGAATTTTACCAGCCTATAGTTTATTGAAAAATAAAGGTAATATTAATTTGTCAAATAAAATATCGAATTTTGCTTCTTTTTTAACATACAAGGTTTTGAAGAAAATAATTTGCTAAAAATCAATAGTAAAAAAGATTTTCTATACATAATTATATTATTCAAATTATTAAAATAATACAAATTTTATTTAATATTAATGAGCGGTTAACTTTGCCACCAATGTCCAACTTTTGCCATTTTGGTGCCATAACTCGAAATATTTACCTTTTTGTATTGAAGTATGCATAATTTTTAAAAAATACTAAATATTTTTGTTTTTGTCCTCACACCTTGTCACAAATAGGTATTTAAATTTGTTTATTTTATATTTTATTCATGAAAAACATTGAATTTATATTATAATATTTTAATTAATTGTTTTGAATTTTACTTGATGAGACTCCAGGTTGATGTTATGTTAATATAAACTACACTGTTTAAAAGTTTTTCTATTTTATTTAAGTATGACAATTGTTTCGCTACAATATACCATAATTATTATTACTTTAATGTATAACCATTGATTAAGGTCTTCACTCAACAGTATAACGCTTATTTAATCTACCCCCAATATTGTACTAAAAATATTACCTGTAAAACCATAATTTATATAAATAGAAAATTAATATTAGTTTGTAGGTATACAATCTGAAGATGCTACTATGTAGGGAAACAATTGTCATGGTTAAATAAAATAATAATAATAAATAATTCTTTATTCCTCCCAAAAAACATATAAAGGATAGTTTTTAGAGGGACACCTCTATATACACATTATAATTCAGTACATATTTACATTAACAATCGTCATACACAATTCTTATAGTTACTTAAATACACTATACACATTTATACATATATATTTACATATACATTTATCACTAATAAACAGATATACTTAAAATAAATAAAGCAAGCTTTAACCTCAACTTAAGTTTTTTTTTCTTAGTGAAACTTTTAAACAGTGGTTTATATTAACATAATTATAATATTTTTTTAAATTTAAAAGTACTTTTTTATAGATAAATATTTTTTGTGATATTTATACATAGTTTTGTTAATTTTATTTTTTTAAATTTATGTTTAAACTCATAGCAGGTACAATTAAAAAAACCCTAAATATAAATATTGTATTAAGCTCAAACTTTGTATCCATTTAAAAAAAAATCCTACTGGTCGGTTTCTAAATTTCGACCCATTTAGCAGATCTGCTAAAAAAATGAAAATTTTCCCATTTGATCAAATAGAGCTCATTAAGTACTATGTACAGTATGTCCGATTTAAGACCGCATCACCACATTATTTTAAAATATTTTATTTTTTTGGACATGGTATTCAAAAATTAAAAAAACAAAAATCGTTTTAACTTTGTTATTCCTGGGAATTTTGAAAAAAGTATTTTGTATGTGTAAACATAAACATTTATCTACATTTTTATCCACAAACCAATAACCACTAAAATAAAGAAGTAAACAACCATCAATTAAGTACTGCAAACTTCAGAGACATCTATTATTATTATGATACTAATGTAAACTATGTTTGTAATTTTTATAATAAAATTCTATAGATACCTATTCAATTTCTTTAAATGAAATAAACAATTTTTCTTTTGCAACAATTACACAATCTTAAAAGGATTTTTGCAACAGAAATAAAAAAATATTTAAAAAAAATCGAGTCTAAATATGTATATCAAAATGTACGTTGTTAAATTTTTTAAATTGGCTATTAAAAAAAAAATCGACTGACCTCCCCTTTTTTCGCATTTTTCAAAGTTTTTGGGTGCCCTGAACACGAAAAGAAAATATTTCAGCTCTGTTGCAATTTTTTTTATAAAACAGTGTTATTATTTTCAATGTATATATGTTTAACAATTTAATGATAAAACCTCCCATGAGAAAATGCTGCGCATATATATATATCTGCGTACACAAGTACACATTAGGAAAAAAATCCTTATTATTCATTTTACGACAAAAAGTTATTTATAAAAAGTTGTGCTTGTTAAGAAAATTAATTTACAATATAAAAATTTTTGATCAGATGTACAGAGTATTAATAAATTAGGAAATCATTAAAATGCTTTAACGATTTTATAAAACAAAGTTTAGATACAAATTTTTAAATAAAAATTGTAATACTAGAAGAAGGACAACTTTGGTGATATGTTAAACAAATATTAGAAATATTCCCCAACACCAAAACAAAACACAAAGTGCTTAAAGTACTTCTCGCTTCTGAAGATGTCAATATCGTTGGCGAAAAATACTTTAAGCACTTTGTGTTTTGTTTTGGTGTTTCTAATATTTGTTTAAAAATTTCAATATTTAAAATTATTGAACATCCTTCCACCTTGACAAACTTGTTCGCTAACTTAATTGATCTACCTTACACTTCAGGCTTTTATGTTAAAAAATGTACTTTGCTTCACACCCAAAAACACACTTTGACATTTGAATAAAGAACGCAACAAAGCAAAAACCACTTGCATAATTTTTACACACTGCCATTATGATAGCGGAGTTAATAAAAACACTCAATAAACGTGTGTATCCTGTTGAAAATTATGCCCATATGTAAAAGACATAGATTCGCCAACAATGAAAAAAATCAATTTATAAAATAGTATCCGAAGCTTAGACCACTTAAAGACAAAAGTTTGAAGGTTTTAATAATGATAAAATCGGATTTGATGCTTTTTATCATTCGCTTATTATAGCCGACAGATATATGGTGCCTGATGATGATTCTAAGTTTTTAAATGAAGGCAACACAACAAAACCTTATTTTACATCTTGTTTTTTAATAACTTTTTAAAGCCTATTGCAAGTAAAGTTTTTTATTGGTTTTGCTTTTTTTAGGTAAAACAAGAACCTCCCGAATACGACTATGCGGACAGTGAGTACGAAGACCCGCCGTTTTTGAGCGGATCGGTCGATGATGTTTTCGACAAAATCAAGGAAAGTTTTACGTCAGGCATAGTGAAAAAAGAAAAGACTGAAGACGGCGAAGGCGAAGATACGACAACGAAAGAGAAAGAGAGTGGTCAAAAAAGCGAAGTGGAGAATAACGGTAACAGCGACAAAGTGGTCGCCAAAAAGGAAAAATCGGACTCGCCCTCTATTGACGTTTTACCGATTATGATTAAAAAAGAATTACTAGGTTAGTACCAACTTTATAGCAATTTAACGCAATATTATTAATTTGTCCACGATTTTGTTTAGCTGAACCCGAAAAATCGAGAGCCACTGTTGAAAAACCAAATGAAAGTAAGGAAGATCATTCACCTGGTATTAATATAAAGAAAGAAGGTAGGGTTTTAGACTAATTTATAAAAATACATGTTATATTAATTATTGTATATAACAATTGAATCGGTGATATTAAGAACAGTACAAGTCCAACATTTTTATTTTGACAAATCATTTTCTAAAACCAATTTAAAAGTTTAAAATGCTATTTTGTCAGAAGATATGTTACTTTATTAAATTGTTGAAATATTCTCACAAAAATGCTTTTTGGACTATAAAACTAATTTTTTAAAATAATTTGTTAAAATTTTAACTTTTGGACTTGTACTGTTCTCTCTAATTCAATTATTTTTTATTTTTAAGGTGAGGAAGATGATGAAGATGAAGACGATGGACTTGATGACGCTCTATTGGTAAGAATTTGTTTGATACTATTTATTAAATAATATTTAATTTTAGTGTTCAGTAAAAGTAGATATTTGCAAGGAATTTTATCCTTGCATGAAAGTTAGAAAAAACTTCCTATTAACCAGTTTCCAAAAAAATACAAAATGTCCGATTTTATTATAATATCTGACCAACCCTAAAAATTACAATAACAATATAATTTACTTCGTGTTTTATTTTTATTTTAAAATCCCTATATTTTGAGCATATAAAGATTAAGTGGAAGAGAAATTTGTTTTTGTAAAAAACGAAGCGAGATGCGAAAAAAAGTAGAGACAAATTAAAACTGTTTTCAATTGTTTCATCTGTACCAAATAAACAAACATTGAAACACATTAAATGCAGTTTCGTGTTATATTTCTCCTTAAAAACAACAGCTGAGACGCCTCTGAAATAAATAAATTCGATCTTATTACATTAAAAGCTTAATATTTTTTTACAAGCAAACACATTAAGTTTTAAAAATATGGAAATACTTTACTGTTTATCACATATTCAGAAAAATCAGATATTTAAAAAAAATTGCAACACTGTATCTTGAAAACAATGTGTTTCCGGAAACTAGTTAATTGGAAGTTTGTTTCTTGTTGTTATTTTCAAGTCCTTAATTTTGTCACAATATTAATCTAAAATAAAACTTAATAAAATGTCAGAAACATCAATCAAAATTTTCTGTACAAAAATATAAATTTAAGTAATTTTAAAGCAAAGTTTTTAAAATGGATATGTGGAAATGATTATTGAAAATAATAAGAATTATATAATAGAATGGACGATTAAGAAGAACTATTTATAAAATTAATATGTTTTTGACGGTACCAGTTATAAAACTGTTTTGTTCAACTATGATACAGTTTTATATTTAATATAAAAATAAAACAAATTAAAATAAATAAATTATAAAAATGTAAATTACGCCTTTTTGATTTTTTTAAATACTTGAGAAAAAATATTTTTCTCATTAAGCATTATGAAAATTGGCTTAAAAAGATTTTTAAGAACTGCTTTGAAAACAACAATTTTTATGGTAAACTTAAATATGAACGCACAAGTACCGTTTACGCTAAACGTACCTTCAATTATTGAGGTTGTTACTCCAGAAAACAAAAAAATCCATATATTTTATATTAATAAAATATCGGTAATATTTTAAATGAACATTTGCAAATGAAAAAGCACTTTGAGTAAGATGTCTATCGCCTTTGTTAACATCAAAACAAAAAGGACAAGTGGAGGTGTTAAAATTGAAATGGATTAAACATGGATCCATTACTATATAGTAATGGATCCATGTATATACACCTGAATCTAATCGAAAATTTGCTGAGTGTTTGAATACTAAAAGGTCTAAAAATTAAATAATTGATAAAAAGAGTTTTTAGTAAGTTTTTTTTGAGATGCAGGTGGTATAATCTTTATAAAGGTATTTACTATCTTAAAAGGGAATAAAAATAACTGGACCGGGTTTACAATAAAATCAAGAAAAACCGACAAGCAGTACGAGAATGCGCATTAATGAAATCGTTGCAAAAATTAAACGAATTCAATTTAAATTTGAATTGCTTTCCCATCCACCGCAATCTCGAGACTTGGACCGCAGACTGATCTTCAATGAAGATGTTGATAATAAAAGTTTTATGAAGAGAATTATTTGAAAGGTGCAAAAACTAAATCTGTCCCGGGACTTTTAATCCCATGTAGTGTATCCAAAATTGTTAGTTGATAGAGAGCTGGAAAAACATTATTTCATAATAACTTAAAAATTCGGCAACCCATCTTCAATATGTTTATTTTACGTAAATGGCAATACAAATTCTGTAAATTTTGTAGTTATAGTGTTTGTGAACACGGAATTTCGAACATCATAATTTTTTTCCTTGTGTGATTCTGTATATAGCAAAGATACAATAATGACCATTTTTGGTTTCGCTGTGAAAATGTCAAGAATAGTTATACCCGGAAGTAAGCTTACTGCCTTTATGGACAACTAACCTAGTAGTTGTACATAAAGTCAGTTTAGATTTTGATGTCAACAAAATTTATAATATACAAATATTAAAACTACAAAATAAATAAAATACAATGCATTTGGTATTTTATTTATTTCAAACTCTGATAGACTTGCCAGAAACGTAAAAAGGCTTAAAGACCCTCCGGCAGCTAAATAAGTAACAAGATAAATTAAGTCGCTTCTAGGGAATGCAATCTCGGTATACCAAGATCTCGAAACACCCAGATCTCGCACTAATTCTGCAAGATTAGTCTTGCACGAAAACCTTGCGCGATCTCGCAAGATTTGCTAGATTAGGACGCAGCGCATTCCATGTGTGTTTTGTCTTTTTTGAGAAGTATTTTCAAAATAATGTAGGTTTTTCAATAAATAATTTTAGTCTTGTTTATTCTTTTTGCTTCAATACCTTGATGATTATAATATTATATACCACTACTGGTAAAATTTTACCAATACAATTTTTGACTTTTATACGAATGTTTTTTTCTTACAAATTTTGCAAGTGGGATTAATTTTTAAGACCAGGAGCCGCAATGCGAGTGGTTTTAAATTAATGCCACGAGCGAAATTTCCAAGAAAAAATCTTGAGTAAAAAAATCAAAAAAAATTTCAGGGAAAATTTTATTACGAGTGGTATTCGGCAAGGCTATTTCACGAATATTTTTTTTAAATTAAAATTAAATGCCGATATTTTTGGACATTTTTATTTTAAAATTAGAAACGTCAACATTGACAATTATTTTTCGCATAGCAACCAATTGGTTGGTCGTATAAACGAGTGTTTTTTTACGTAAATCGGTACTAGTTTTATCGCTGCAACACTGAAAAATACACTCGTTTTCTGAAATCTTCCTGAAATCTGATTGGTCCATAAAGTAATAAGTGGAATGGTCTTAAATAAATTATTTTGCCTTTGCGATATAACCTAACAAAGTTGTAATAATAGTATATTATGTATCAAGTTTGATAAACGTTATTTTATACACGAATTTAATTTAGGCACGAGCGAGCTTGCGAGCGAGTGCTTAAATTAATGAGTGTATAGAAAAGTTTATAAACGAGGTGCATACTATACTTTTTCTATGACAAATACTTATTATTATCCTAAAATGATTTAAATAAAAAATTTGTAAAGAGCGCCATCTATGAAACAATTGGGGAATCTGTGTGTCACCGTCAAATGTCAATTTTTTTTATTTTATAAATACAATTATAAAGGTTATAAATCGAAATGTATTTCTTGTAAATTAATAGTTTTTCACAGTGAAAGTAAAGAAAATGTTTTATGAGCACTTTACAGTTGAGTCCGTGCCCGAATTTAGGTTAGTTATAGTTTACTGCCGGCGAAATTAAAAGGTCAGGACAATGTTCATATAAACTTTTCAAATATTGGCGTTGAGAAACTATTTAATACTTTTGTATTTTTGTATTGAGATAATAAAATAATTTTCACATTTAGTATTATTTTACAAGAAAGTCACTTTATTTTAACGATTGTTTGACAATTTACAACTGTCAACTAACTTAAAACTAACTTCAGCCCGTGACTAAAAACCTGTTGCTAACTTTAGCCCGTGACTAAAGCGCCATAAAGCCACAACTTGTCAATGTGTATTTAAAAGGTCGCTTAGTGTCATGGAAACATGTACGATAAAGGGCGTTTTAAAGGTGGGAGTAGAAAAAAATAATTATACCAATATTCTTTTTTTATTAATCTTAAATCTGAGAGATCTCGCAAAATACCGGGATCTTGCGAGATTACATTGCTATACCAAGATTGTACATTTTCATGCAAGATTGCATTCCCTAGTCGCTTCTTACAAAAACAACCTTAGTTCTTTTATTTACGTATACTTATATTATAAATTAATATTTTATGTCAATAATCTTTAATTTAGCAAGATAATGTAAATGACATTGAAAATAGACATTTGTATGACAAATCATTATATTTAAACAGCACAAGTCTACCTTTTAAAGTTTTTATAATATTGTTTTTAATTAAAAATAATTAGTCATCCATTTTTGGACTATGGTTGTTTTTGTAAGAAGCGCCTTAATTGTTAATTTGTTGTTATAATGGCAAAATTAAGGTTTAAACTCATATTTTTTGTTTCTTAAGTTGGCATCACGAAATTTAAAATGACAATTTTAAAAAGTGCATAGTTACATAAAAAATATACTGTAATAATCTAATAATCAATTTCTAAGCCAACATGGTTCTCTTTGGTTGCTCGTATTTAAAAACGAATGTTTGAAAGAATATATGGAAAATAACACTTGTGCAGAAGTGTTTTTCCCACAGATTTCCCATGGATTATTTCAAAAATTCGTTTCCAAACTTCAGAAACAAAATAGAATGATGTTGATAGCTTAAAAATTTATTATTATAGTTTATATTTTATGTAAATCTCATGAGCGAGCTCGTCAGATACAACAATGGTGCATAAAAACAAATTTAACTTAAACAATTATTTTCTTGGAATCTGTGCTGTAAAAAAATCTGAAATTATTTGTAGATGTGTCTGATTCCTCACAAAATCCTGTAATAAATTTTGAAGACATTAGAAACTCTTTAAATGGATTTACTACCTTAAGCAAAAATGCCTTATCTACAATATTAACTTGTAACACTTGTTAAAAAAATAAACATTATCTTTGGTTCTTTATTACTCAATATTGTAACGTTTTTAACTGTTCGTAGTGTGAATTAAAACACGCACTGGTTAATTAACGAACTAAACTATTTATTTAATAACTTAACTACACTTAAAACACTATGAAATTAACTAAACACTTAACTACTAATTATTTATATCACTACTAGTTTATTTATTTGCACTTATATTTATTTATTTCTTCGCGCGTGCCAAAGCTCCACTGACTCTCCATGAAGCGCCGTTCCTTATATATTACAGCGCCTACGTCTTCTGGAACATTCCAGCGAGCTCCACA